CCCCCCCATTTTTCTTAATTTTAGTGCTGTAAGAGATATAGGCATATAATATATCAATACAAAAAACGGTGTTTATTCCCCCTGTCTAGTGTAGTGTCTTTTTTACTCTACATGCTACTTCAAAATGCGCTTCAAAACTATTGCCACAGAAGATCCCCAAACCCTCAGAAACATTCTCGGCTTCCTGGTAACCATTCATCGCAAGCAGACGATTAAGCGCTCAAACACTGGCAAACTAACAAAATCTTTCGCTGTGTACAGCTGGGTACCCATTCGCACCTTGATGAAGTGAGGAACATTCGTGTAAAGTGATCGACATTTTATTTCCTCTAGTGTACAGATTCCTACAGTGCCGGTTACGAGAATGTTTAGGAAACTGAAGCTTGGCTTTATTTGAAAAGTAACAAGAAGCACTTCCGTACACTAAAGGACATAACTCTTGAACGTAACTAGACTGACGATAAGGAATAGAGCCAAGAGAGGACAAGCGTATTATTCCTTTATTTGAAACAATCGTTGATGTTTTACCTTTATAGAGACAATTTATGTCTATTACTACTATTAGTAGGCAGGCTGCTTCGAGCCTGTCTGTCAGGACCAACATGAGTTCTGAGGGACGCGATGCCTATCAGCACGCATAAAGAAAAACTCCATTAATTTTCTCACCGCACGGGAATCGAACCCAAGTTTTCTACGTGACTGCAAAGCGCCTAACCGCTTCACCACATACACAGGTGGACAAAGTGTTAATAGCTGAGAAATGAAGAGCTGGTCGTTGAGCGTTCTGACGTCACCGCCCACGGGACATCGTGAGGTGAAAGTTCGTACGTGATAAAGTGGTCAACTAACTGGGCGACACGGCGTGGCTCACTGAGTCAGTCGCAAGGTATCAGGGATCACCGACTGGCCTCTTGTATCTGGGACAGAATCATTTATCCAATCGGCGTCGGTTGATTAAATACTCCGCCATCACTCGCAGATGACGTGAATTCAATTCCCGTATTGTAGAAGTATGTTTTTGTCTACAATCTCCTTTTTAAAAAAATTGGTAAATGTTTCACGGCACTCGTAATTGCATAAGGTCATATGAGCGTGGCGGACACATTAAATATTTTCAATTGATAGGAATTTTTGAATTTTTAACGTGCAAAACTTGCACACGGGACTTCCGAGATATTTCACCTTTGTCCAAGAAGGCTAGGTGTAGATCTTTCTTACCATAAGATCAGGAGTGTGGCTGAAAGACAGCAGAAAGGAGTCTAGGAGTATCAATAGAAAGGCTGCAGGAGGGGGCAAAGGGGGGTGAAGGGATGGGGGCAGAGAATGGAGACGAAAGCAGACGACAGAGCATTGTCCAAGAGCAGGAAAGAATGTGAAAGGAGAAAATGTTAGAGAAGAAAATTTCCCGTCGCTACCCGGATTCAAACCTGGGACCTATTGAATGAGAGGCGAACACCTTAACCTCTGGGCCCCGAGAGCCCCCTGGCAATCTCTGTCTGTCTCCTGAGATGTTGTTCCCTACTATACTCTACTCAGACTGAACTAGCTTGGTCGAAGAAAACATCTTCTACATTTGGCTACAGTGTGCGATGAGAGAATAAAACAAGTACATTGTTATAATTAGTGAAGCAGAAGGTGTCGGAGTGGGGAGTTGCATGGGGTTTCTATCTATCTAACTATCTATCTATCTATCTATCTATCTAACTATCTATCTATCTATCTATCTATCTAACTATCTATCTATCTAACTATCTATCTAA